ATATTGAACAGCATCAGCCCAAGGACCAAGCCTTGGGGGACTCCATTGCCCACATCTTTCAGGTTGATACCGACCCGTCTACCACCACTCTCTGGATACGACCCTTAAGCCAATTTGCAGCCCACATGACTGTGTCTTCGTCTATGGCACAGCCATTCAATTTGTTTATGAGAATCGGATGGGATACTGTGTTGAATGCCTTCTTAAAGTTCAAGTAGATGACATCTACCTCAATTCCCACATCATTTAGTGACCTGGTCATAGAAAGAAACAAGGTTAGTCAGGCAGGATCTATCTCCTATGAACCCATGCTGCCTGCCCTTCAGCATTATATTACCCACTGGAATCCTATAAATATGTTTCTTGATCATTTTTTCAAGGGTTTTCCCAAGGATAGATGTGAAACTAACCAGTCTGTAGTTACCCGGATCCTCCTTCCTCCCATTCTTGAAAATAGGGACCAGATCACATTGGCCCTTTTTCAGTCCTCTGGGACCTCACCTGAGCACCACGAGTGCTGAAACAGCCATGCCAGTGGCTCTGCTATGACACTGGCTAATTTTTTGAGCACCCTTGGATGGAGCTCATCTGGTCCCACTGATTTGAACACATCAAACCCCTCCAAGTGTTTCTTTACCTGCTTGGTGCTGACAGTTGGTGGGCTGGTGTTCCTCCTGTTTTTACCTGTAATGCATTTGGGAGATTTGTTTACATCCGTGCTCAAGAGCACAGAGGTGAAAAACTCATTGAAGAGCTCTGCTTTGTCACTTCTATTTGTCACCAACTGCCCTAGTCTATCCTGCAGGGGTCCTATGCTGCCCTACATCTTCTTTTTGCTCCTTATATACCTGAAGTACTTTTTGTTGTCCTTAATTTTTGTCGCCGGCTTAAGTTCTAATGCTGCTTTGGCCTTCCTGACTGATTCCCTACAAGTGTGAGCCAAGGAGGTATACTCCTCCCTGGTAGCTACCCCCTTCTTCCACAGCCTGTATGCCTCTTTCTTTGCCCTTAGGCTTTCCTGGATTTTCCTGTTTAGCCAAGAGGGCTTCTTGGCCCCTCTGCCCCCTTTTCTATGCAGTGGGATTGTCTCCTTCTGTGCCTGAAGGACTGCTTGCTTGAAGAAGAACCTCTACAAAGTTGTACGCTTTGAAACTTTAATCATATATTTTTGGAAACAATTGTTTAAACAGGGCTGTCCTTTTAAAAAAAGTAAATTGAAACACCACAAATGTATGAGGTACACCCAATTGACACTTACATGGATTTAATCAGGATCTCAAATCCACTATCTAGAGCTCCATCTTTTGTACCACTTGCATGTGATTAAATCAGATGGTACATTTAATTATTGCCTTTGTAGGGAACTTCCTGCTTTGGCTCTACAGTCCTGATTACCAATAGGTCTTGTGCAGCTGGAATTTTGAGGGAAGTAAGTTGCCAAAAAAAAAATAGTTTACAATTTGACCGAACTTACCCATAGCATGTAGGCAAAAGCTGCTGGCACAAAGGCCACCTTTCTGCCATGTATCAAGTCTCTTCTTCAAAGCATGGAGATGAAAAAGCTTCTTAAACAAAAGGTCACTGGACTCTAACATGGATAAGACTTTTTTTTCTTTAGCCTTTTGCATGGGAATGGTTAAAATTTTGCAGAAATTCTACCATGACTGTTTAAAGTTTGGCAAATTAGCACCCAAGATAAAACAGGATCTTAAAATGGGAAGTAGTAGGCACCCTTAATAATAAGTAGCCATACTTATAATAGGTAGTCCTGTTGGCTTCAGGGGGAATTTGAAACCCTGTGGTATACAGGTTATAAAAGAGTCTATATCTGCAAAGCATGCATATAAAATTCATAATAGCTAATACTTTTTTAAAAAGCATAAAAAGGGCTGTTGCATTGCAAAGGCACTTCAGATGTAAACATTTCTATAATAAACTAGTCAGCAATTTTAACCTATACTGTCCTTGAAGTGTCCGCTACAAAGGGAGATATTATTTAATTTTTCATGTCTTGTTATTCATGTTGCCGTCAGAATGGTGATTTTATGGATTTCTAGTATTGCCAGTTCAGAAGTACACCGATAAAGACATGCATTTGATCACCTTCCTCTAATTAGTTGTAATTACAGCCTTCTGTACAAAGTAGTCTTTAGATGTTTTAAAATATATATTTATCTGCAGGGTATATTGTGAGTTCAGAATGATACTGTTCACTGATTTACATAAAAGGAGTTTAGGGTTGTTATACAGTTTTGAATATGGTAACATTAGCTTGCTTAGAGACTTGAATTCAGGCATATCACGTTGCTATTTTTTAGGATTTTAAAATGTTTGTGACTTTTTTTTTAAAGCTAGCTCCATTTGGACTTTAAATAAAAGGTACTCTGGAGCTCATTTAAATGAATACTTGTAAAAGGTATGCAGTGCACAGAAATAGAGATTAGTTCCTATAAATGAGGAAGGAACTTAGTAAAAGAATCAACTTCCAGTGCAGTAAAAGGAAAATCAATGGTAAACTGACCTAATAAAATGATAGGCCTCTTCAAAGGAAAAAAAAAAATCTAAGCACTGAGCTACAGAAGATAAGATAGTAAAGCCTTTTTGATAAAATGGTTCTGTTAATCCTGATGCCTCAAGAGGGCAATTCTCCTCTTCCCCTTTAACAGGTATCTGCTATAATTATTTAAAATCATCTTTAATTTCAATGTTCCGGTCATAAATAAAGCATGGAAGCTTGCTATATTTTTCCATAACATTTTGTTTTTCATAGGGGACTGTTCACCAGTAGTGAATGAAAATGGAAGTACTTGTTGAAAGTTTTTTTGCAAAGCGGAGCAAGTTTCTTAGTGCACTGAAATAATCCAATGCAGTTTTCTGTTTTATTCTGGTAGTGCATGATTCCTTTGTTATCACTACTCTGTCCTCACAAAAAAACCCCCTCTCTGTACTGTAAGGGATCTGCACTGACATTCATGTTTAAAATTATCTGCTGTTCCGATATATTCAGGTACGTGTGTGTTGATCACCTAGTGTGTATTGTGTGTGAATGGGTATGTTGGTATGTGTTGTTTGAGGGGGGAGTCTGTGAGTATGCTGATGTGTGCTGATCAAGGTGTATGTTGTGGGTGGGTGGGTATGCTGGTATGTGTTATTTGGGGGGGGCTGTATGCTGATATGTGTTGTTCGAGGTGTGCTGTGTGTGAGTTGGGTATGCCACTATGTGTTATCTGAGGAGTGAGTGAGTGTGTGTGTGTGTGTGGATATGTGCTGTTCAAGGTGTGTGTTGTGTGCAAGTGGCTATGCCAGTATGTGTTATTCAAGGAGTGTGTGTGTGTGTATGCTGATATGTGCTGTTCGAGGTGTCCATTATGTGTGAGTACCTATGCTGATATGTGTTATTTGAGGGGTGTGCATGTGTATACTGATATGTGCTGTTTGAGCTGTGCATTGTGTGCAAGTGGGTATGCCGGTATGTGTTATTTGAGGAGCGTGTGTGTGTATGCTGATGTGTGTTATTCGAGAAGTGTGACTCTGTGCTGATACGTGTTGTTCAAGGTGTCTGTTGTGTGTGAGTGGGTATGCTGGTATGTCTTATTTGAGGAGTGTGTGTGTGTATGCTGATATGTGTTGTTTGAGGTGTTGTGTGTGAGTGGCTACGTTGATACGTGTTATTTGAGCAGTGTGTGTGCACATACGGATATGCGCTGTTCAAGGTGTACATTGTGTGAGTGGGCATGCCAGTATGTGTTATTTGAGGGGTGTGTGCGTGTATGCTGATATGTGCCGTTTGAGGTGTGTGTAGTGTGTGTGTGGGAATGCC